GACCCGCGGCAAAGCACCAGGAACCGGGAACACCAGGGAGCGCGAAGCCGAAATGCTGTGTTGAACTGGGCGAGGAGAGGACGAGTAATCCGATCAGGTTCGGCCCGTTACTGGGCCGAGCTCCTGTCTACACGTGATGAGGCAAACTGGTAAGTGCGCGGCAAGACGGAGACGCGAAACCACCGCGGCGCAGCGAAATGCGGCAGCCCCCTAAGCCTTGATAATGGAAAGCGCCAAAGGGCGAAGTTTCCGAGTATGGCGGCATTTGTGGTGTCCTCGGTCACGCGCCGTTTGCCTAACAAGGCTCACGTCGCTGGCGCCCAGAGCCCCAGATGACATCTATTCATGTGGGGTCCCACGCGGACTCGATCTATGATGATATTGCGCGGAGTGCGGAATGCCGACAAAGGGTCCAAGCGTCCGAAATTCAAGTTAGGCGTTCGACGCGGCGTTCGTCGCGGTGCTGCGTATCTAGTTCATATACAAAGGGGAGATCCGATATGGCATGTGCGCGAGCGTATGTAGCGGAGCGGAATTTCGGCCATTGGAATGCATTGCATAGTGTCCATGCGTTGGGCGGCCCTAGCATAACAGCGCGATTTCTGCCCCTCATTGTGTCATGACATGGTTGTGGTGCGGCATGGTGATTCCCTTTCGCGCTAATCCACTTCTGTAAATTCGTTTGCAGGTATTGTTTGTACTACACGTGCGCGACAGAACTAACAGGGCGCCTGTTTGAGAACATGGGGAGTTCTTGAACATGTCATAATCAACTTTCGTGTGAACAGGGTATGGCTTCGCCGTCTTCGCCGTCTCGTTCCTATAAGTTGACATTTGCTGCCAGTATTCGGAGATTGGTTTGTCTATGCCGCCGCCGCCCCGTGGGTGCGTCGACGACGAGACATCCCCCCATGCGCAACCTTGCACCTCCCTTCGCCCCGACACGTATGGGAAATAATGTCCCATGGACCAGTGTATTCGCGCTCGCAGTGGTACAAGTGCACGCGGCAGTAAATGATCACGACCGCTGCGCCCACATTGCGATTTGAAGCGCACGCGACTTCGCAATCCATGATATTCAGCCTGCGCGCGCGCAAACAATGTAGCTGCCTGCGGCGAGTCCCGCCCCCGTTCCAGCCCACCCCGCTGGTCCATCTTTGGACCCTCGTGGAGGCCTCTCGGGCCGTCTTATGTCCACCCGGAACCTTGTTGGTCGGAGGTTGGGGGGTGAGATCGCAGTGGAATTGAGACCCCCAATTGGGAAATCGTTTCGTTTCGTTCGTGTCGCGCGTGCGGGCGAGGCGAGGCTGCGTGGGCGCGCGAGAGGAATGAACCAGCCGTTGCTAGGACAAAGTCGAGACAAATGATTCTCCCCCGTCCGTCCTTCCGTCCGGCGGTGGCCCTAGCGGTGTCCCTCGGTGTCCCGCGGTGTCCCGTAGTGTCCCGTGGTGTCACGTGGTGTCCGCCGTTGCTAGGACGAAATCAAGACAAGTGATCTTCCCCCTCCCGCTCGTCTGGCGGTGGCTCGTGGTGTCCCGCGGTGTCCCGTGGTGTCCCGTGGTGTCCCGTGGTGTCCGTCGCTGCTAGGGCGAAGTCAAGACAAATGATTCTCCCCCGCTCGTCCGTCCGTCCGTCCGTCCGGCGGTGGCTCGCGGTGTGCCGCGGTGTCCCGTGGTGTCCCGTGGTGTCCCGTTGAGTGAGATCGATGCTGAGATCGATAGTGAGATCGATAGCGAGATCGATAGTGAGATCGATAGTGAGATTGATGTGGTTCCCCGTGGTGTCTCGTGGTGTCCCGTGGTGTCGCAAAAAGTGAGATCGATAGTGAGATCGACAGGTGTTCCGTGGTGTCCCGTGGTGTCCTTTTGACTGAGATCGATAGTAAGGTCGATAATGAGATCGATACTGAGATCGACTTGGTGCCCCGAGGTGTCCCGTGACGGCCCGTGGTGGTCCAAAAAGTGAGATCGATAGTGAGATCGACAGGTGTCCCGTGGTGTCCCGTGGTGTCCCGTGGTGTCCCGTTGAGTGAGATCGAAAGTGAGGTCGATAATGAGATCGATAGTGAGATTGATGTGGTGTCCCGTGGTGTCCTATGGTGTCCCGTTGAGTGAGATCGATAGTGTGATCGATAGTGAGACCGATAGTGAGATCGAGAGGTGTCCCGCGGTGGCCCGTGGTGTCTCGTGGTGTCCCGTTGAGAGAGATCGATAGTGCGATCGGTAGTGAGATCGACAAGTGTCCCGTGGTGTCCCGTGGTGTCCCGTTGGTTGATCGATAGTGAGATCGATTGAGTCAGATGTTGGTTCACCCCCCCTCTCCCCCCCCCACAACCTCATTATCACCTGAAGTGTGGTCTCATAGGTAAGTTTCTTGTTGACGAAAGCCCAGAACGGCGAGATTTGGGTTTTTTCGGACCCCAATTGAGATCCTCGCGGGGACCCTTTGGGCGCTTCTGGAAGCGCCTGGGCCCGCATTGAGGCCATCTTCGGCCGCGTTGGTCGAATAGAGGTGGCTTCGGTTGCCTGTTGGCCCGTCTTCGAGGCAGGTTGGTTGCTTCGGTTCCTGCCTCGGTCGCCTGGAAAGCTCGGGACGCGGACGCGCCGTTTTTTGCTCGAACAGAGGTGGCTTCGGGCTACGGATATATGTTGCGTTGGGTTTTCGTTTTGGATAGGGCGCTGCGGATTCCAACCCGCCCTTCCGTCCCGCCTCCCGTCGCCTTTTCCCCGTGTTTCCTCCTTGTCCGTTGCCTTCTGCATGGCTTGTGCCTGCCTGTCCGTCTACCTCGTACCTCGCCGTCCCCAACGTTACCTCGCCGTGCGTGGGGAGGGTGGCTTGGAACTGCGATGGTGCCGCCACTGCCGATTTTTGCTGGATTGCGCAGAGGAGTTACATCTTACGCAGACACAGGTTCGACCTCGCCGTCCCTGATGGGGGGCTGCGAATCGCCAAACTGTCGACACGTTCGAGGGCTGCCGGGGGGTCCGACGGAGTAACGTCTTACGCAGACTTAGATCTGACCTCGCCATCCCTGGGGGCTGCGAGCTGCGAGCCTTTCTTTCGCCACTTATCAGGGCAGCTGGGGGTGCCAGCGGAATGACGTCTCACGCAGAGTCTGACTAGACCTCGCCATCTCTCGGGGGGCTGCGAAACTGCAAGCATGTTGCCACTTTCGAGGGTTCTTGGGGGTGTCAGCGGAGTGACGTCTTACGCAGATTCGATTCGACTTCGCCGTCCCTGGGGGGCTGCACGCTCCCACGTGGTCGCCACGTTCGAGGGCTTCTGGGGGTGCCAGCGGAGTGACATCTTACGCAGATTCAGACTAGACTAGACCTCGCCATCCCTGGGGTGGTTGCGAATTGCGGAGCGGAGCTCGATGACGCCACCGACGCCTCGGAGGCGGTGGGTTTCGCTGTCACTTGGCCGCAGACGGGAGAGCCTTTTCGACATCCAACAGCATAAGGTCACGCACTCTGGCCTGGTCATTTCCCACGTCGAGGTCTTGACGTCCACGGCCTGCAAGGGTCAGACCATGCACCGCAGAGTCATTGTCGACACCAGGCGCAAGGACGCGGAGGACCTGGACGCTCTTTTGCTGCAGCCTTACGCGATGTTCTCAAGAACGACGACGGTGGACAACCTGCTGGTGATACGCGACCGCAGCCTTGATTGCGTTTGCCGCGGGTCGCCCGCAGACCTGGCGGCGCGCCTGCGGGCGCCTCGCTTCTGCATTGAAATGCGCAGGGAGGACGCAGAGAATTCCGTCCTCGATTCCTGCCTTGGTTATGAACAGCTGATCCTCTGGAGTGCCAAAGCGACATGGTGCCGGCCGTGCTTATTTTTGCAGCGTGCCAAGCGAAAAACAGTTGCCACGCTGCTTGCGACAGGTCCGCGGAGTGGGTTTTCAGTCTTTCGCGCGCCCAGATGTTCATCCCATGTAGTGTGCGCTTCCTTTTGCTTTCACGTGCTGGTGCTGGCTTGCACGCAGTTGCCATTTCTCTTGCTTCGCCGTGCCGTGCTTGGTTATCAAAACGCAGAAATTGTGGATTGCCGTGCCGCGCAGAGTTTGTTCTTCATCGTGGAGGCGTGTCGCCGTGCCGCGCTGCGCTTCGTCTGCATGCGCACCCTGGTCTTCCCATACACGTTGATCTGCCGCGCCGCGTCGCGTTTCGGCCCTTGGGCGCCCTGCCGAACAGGGTTGGGCCACGCACTTAATCGATCCGCGGCGGTTGCGGGCCTGGCCCTTCCCCTAAAGTCCTTGACCCAACCAAGGCCAAACAGGACAAACTGACGTCGGGGGTCACCGCAACTCCAGGCCGGTTCCGCGCAAAACGAAAAGTGCCCTTTTCGTGCATGTTCCCTCCTTCCTGCTCCCCTTTGGGGGTGGTTTGGTGAACTCTTGGGCCGCCCTGGAGTGCCGGAGAGCCAACAAGGGGAGAACGCAAACAGTTATAGAAAATGTACGAAAACAACAATGGTTGTTACACATGGGGGACCAGTTGGAAGTCCTCTTGAGCGTTTTCGGGGTTTCTTTAGGGCCTCTTGGGTAATCCTGGGGCCATCTTAAGCGTTTTGGAAAGATCTTGGGTTGTCTTGGAGGCCACTTGTCGGCCTGACTGGGATTCGTGCGCCGTCACGGAAACTTTGGAGAACCATAGGGAGGAATGGCCGCCCAAGGCCTTCGGGAGTAGGGGTTGTGCAGTCGTGCAATTGGGTGTGGACCTGAGGGTGGGAGGTCATTTCGAAGACTACAAAAACTTGCCCCGCAGCCTTCGGGCAGTCGTGCAATTGGGTGTGGACTTGAGGGTGGGAGGTCATTTCGAAGACTACAAAAACTTGCCCCGCAGCCTTCGGCAATCTTCGACGCCTCAACATGCAGCAGGCACGGTGGCGGATTGTCATCTTGGCGGATGGGGCCGTCTCGCGATAGCGGCGGTTCAAACAGCAGTGTCGGCAAAAACATATGGTTTGGGCGACGACGACGCGCGCCGCGCTGCGAGGGCAACCGCGTTGAATCCACCACCGCGAGTTCAGCGACAACCAGCTTTTATTATGGCGCTCGCGCTGCGGCTTCGTACTCAAGAGGCTGATGCGCCATTCTTCCGACCTTCAGATGGGGCGGGGAGTCCACTGTTGAGGCGTCATTGGCTTTTTGGGCACTATGTGGGGACTTTTGTATGTTTTTGGGGAGCTGTTTGGGGGCCTGGCGGAGCCTCTTGGAGGCAGTTTTGAAATGGCTTGGGGGCAGTTTTGGGGCCCCTGTTGGGCCTTCTGGGAGCATGTTGAGGCTTATTGGTGGCCTCTTTTGAGCCTATTGGAGGTTTCTTGGGGCCTTCGGGGGGCTTTTCGAGGGGTCCCAAGGCGGAGGATCGGATTTTCGGTTCGTGGTGTTTTCCCTCTTGTCCTCTCGGGGGCCTTTTCGGACAATAGTTGGCCGTCCTGGCACCCTCGAGAGTGTTTCTTGTCACCCTGTGGGCCAAGACGCGCATCATGCCCCCTCTCTCCCCCCCTCCTCCCCCCCATAGCGTAAGGCCCCCCCCCCCCCCCCCCCCCTACTACCGCAGTACGTCCAGCACCAAAGTCGTTGGGGGGGAGCGTCACGATATGCCCCCCCCCGTCCCCCCCCCCCTCCTCCCCATAGCGCCCGCTTCGGCCGCGAAAAAAATGCATTCCTGGTTGGCCCGTCTTGGAACCGTCTTGGGCCGTCCGGGGGCCCTCGTAAGAGCCTCTTGGGCAGTTGGTGGGTGCTTACAGGGCCCGCGATGTAGCTCCAGATTCTTCGATCCCCAAGACGCGCCGCCTCCCATTCTCAACGCACAGCTACCGTCATCCATAGTGTGACAGCACAGTACTGCGGCTCGTTTGACAGGCGGTGGACAGTGCCACCAAGCGTCGCGCAGCCTCCGCTCCCGTTGGTCTATGCGGGAGACGCTTGCGCGCCGCCCCGCGGGCAAGGCGTACGGGCACCCTGCTATTGCCGGCGCCGGCAGCTGCGCGCGAACAGTTGGCGCGATGAATGCCTGGGGCGTCCCTTGGCCTCGCCGAGAGACTTCAAAGCGCGACGTCTGGAACAATAAATAAACGCTTTGCCAAGCCCTAAGTTCAAGTGCCGATGTAGCCGTGAACAAAAACAGCGCCAACCTCCTTTCTCATCCCGCGTCTGTCGTCGTCTCCCGCCTCGCCCTTCGACAGTCTTCCTGCTGCTGCCGCGCTGACTTTTCGGCCCCCTTTCCGTCCTTCTCCTGCCCCCCGTTTCCGCCCTTGTTTTTGCTTTCGACCCGTTCACAACCCATTCCGTTTTTTTTCTGCCCCATGTTCCCGCCCCCGTTCCCTTTCGATTCTTCAGGCAGCACGCCTCGTCTTTTCTATCGTTGCCCTGTGAGTCACGCGACGCGCCCGCAGCCCATGTCATGTAGCTTGCGGAACAAACACGGCGTTTGCCCCCACGCTGTCCACGCACGGGTGGACAAGTTCCTCGGTGCCTTCTCCTCCTCCTCCTCCTCCTCCTCCTCCTCCTCCTCCTATTCCTTCTCGTATCCCTCCTCCTCCTCCTCCTCCTCCATTCGATGCGAATGGGTTGTGTAAGTCACAGGGTCATGTCACGATGGGGCCGTGGCTTCGGGAGCAGGGGCCACGCACGTGGTGGCCTGCAGATGACAGGCGGTGCCCCTTGTCAGAGCACAAGAACCCCGCAGAGCAGCCCCTGGCATTTACACGCCGGTCGCTGAAAGTAGGTATTTTTGGATTCCCAGATCCCAATCTACTCTCAGCGCCTTCCTACTTCAAGAGTCAAGTGGTTTTCCCTCTTCCTTCCTCTTCGGGAGGCGGGCGGAAGCCCAATCTATTCCCAACGCCTTCCTACTTCATGCTTCTACCTACTTCTTCCGACCGATGGGTATACGCGCCCAGATCGCTCAGGCTCGTTGGCGGATGTCGTTTGCTGCGACAGTGTTGTGCGTCGGCCTCCCCATGCTACGTTGCACGTTCCTGCCCTCTGCTCCGCTGTCCCCCTCCCCGCCCCAGCCCGAACGCATCATGAGAGCAGGGGCGCGAGCTGTGTCGTGCTGTCCTGGTCGTGCAAGCTATGTGGTGCAAGATCTGTGGTGCAAGCTGTGTGGAGCAAGCGTGGTGTTCGCAATGTGGCGCAAACTGCGCTGGCTGCTACGAGGCGCCCACGGGCGGCCACGGGACAGAAGAGGAGGAGGAGGAGGAGGAGGAGGAGGAAAACGACGACGACGACGACGGAAAGGAGGAGAGGGGAGGATCGGGATGGGGGAGGAAGAGGAGGAGGAGGAGGAGGAGGAGGAGGAGGAGGAGGAGGAGGCCGCAGCCAGCGCCCGCGGCGCCCTCCAGGCGTTCAAGAGGGCGGCGGCGGGGCGAGGAACGGGTAGCCCCCAGCAGTCGCACGATGCGCCCACGATGCGTCCACTGGCGGCAACGCCGCGTGCAATCGAGGATTCACACGTGTGTTCGAAAGTAATCCCCCTCCTCCCCCCTCTTCCCCCCTCTCCCTCCCTCCCTCCCTCCCTCTCTCTCCCTCCCCCTCTCCCTCCCTAGCTAGTTGCACGTTCCTCCCCCTCCTCCCCCTCTCCCCCCCCCCCTCCCCCTTCCTCCCCTCTCTGCCACAGGGCGCCCCGCGGAGGGTAAAAAAAAAGTGTTCGAAAGTAATCGGATTGGTATTCCAGGGTTCCGCTTGGTGGGCGGCCGTTGGCGCTTCGTGGGCGGTCCGCGCGCTGGCCGGGTCTGGGACTGCCAGGGTCTCGTTTATGGTGGGCGACTGTGACCGCCTCGCGGGCGTCCTGTGCGCTGGCTGCGTCTGCGAGCTGGCGCCCGGCGGGCGGTCGGGGGCGCCTGGCAGGCGCAGCGTTCTGCTGGGCGGGCCGGCAGAATGGCGGCAGCGAGCCCGGAAGACATCCCCGAGGTTTGACAGCCCGCCGCTCGTCGCTCGTCGTCCATGTGAGTCGCGCTATTCGCGCGCTGGCCGGGAGGTGGAACCTCACCCAGTGGCGGGCAAACTGCTTGCCAGAGTGGCAAGTGATTTGTCTGCAGAGCGCTTGTCGCTGGAATTCGGCGTCCAGCTTCTCAGTAGTTTGCGCGCCGTTATTATGTTTGCAGTGGTGGTTGGTCACACGCGTGGACGTTGAACTCGCAGGTTTTGTTGATAACAGAAGACACGACAAGAACGCTAGAGTTCTTCAAACATTACTTTGAATGAGAAGGGGTGACAGAGGTATCACGGAGGAACTTTGCGGACGTATTCCGAGCTTGTAGACGCCAGCAGGCAGATGAAGGCACTTGTCCGCGGATGGTCCTCGGCGCATGGCAGCGCCCGCACGAGCCGCTGCAAGCGTTCATTGACGGCTGCCAATGGTGCCGAGATAATGCCTCCAAGTTGCTGGATCCGTTGCAGTCTCTCCCTCGCTGGAATATAGGGGAAAAAAGGGGGGTCCTTCATCCTCGCCGGCGCTTCCTGCTGGCGCCGGCCTCCTCCTCCTCCTCCTCCTCCTCCTCCTCCTCCTCCTCCTATTCCTCCTCCTCCTCCTCCTCCTCCTCCTCCTATTCTTCTCCTCCTCCTCCTTCTCCTCCTCCCTCCTCCTCCTCCTCCTCCTCCTCCTCCTCCTCCTCCTCTCCTCCTCCTCCTCCTCCCCCTCCTCCTCCTCCTCCGCCTCCTCCTCCTCCTCCTCCTCCTCCTCCTCCTCCGCCTCCTCCTCCTCCTCCTTCTCCTCCTCCTCCTCCTCCCCCTCCTCCCCCCCCCTCCTCCTCCGCCTCCTCCTCCTCCTCCTTCTCCTCCTCTCCTCCTCCTCCTCCGCCTCCTCCTCCTCCTCCTCCTCCTCCTCCTCCGCCTCCTCGCCGCCTCGTTGCCTCGTTGCCTCCTCGGGTGACTGGCGGGTTATCCAGGCGTCCCAGATGGGGTCCGAACAGATGGGTCGGGGGTGGACAGGACCCCCAACAGTGACACGTCGATTAGTGAATGGTCAGTTTTCGATTCTCGAGAGGGCGCCGTGGCCACTATTTTCCAGGCTTGCGCCCGACAGGACGCCCTTCGGGCCGGGCGAAAGGGGGGGATTGGGAAAGGGGGGCTACGAAATCTGCTGCATGCAGCTGGCTTCGGCCCCACGGAGGGGCCCATTCCTCGATACATGGCCGCCTCCCGGCGCCGGGAGGCGCCGGGAGAATCAGCTACGTGAGCTGATTCTCAAACCCCCCTCTGCTATCCCCCCCTTTCGCCCGACCCGAGCCCTCGTTGCCTCCTCGGGTGACTGGCGGGGTCTCCAGGAGTCCCAGATGGGGTCCGAGCAGACGGGGTCGGAGGATCGCCGATGCGTCGGCGAGGCATTGGCGATGCATCAGCGATGCCTCAGCGATGCGCTTTGACGTGGGGCCCGATGTTCTCCACGCCCACGTCGCCGATCATCGCCGAGGTGTCGGCGGTGCGGCGAGAGCCTCCGACCCGATCTGCTCCGACCCCATTTAGGATTAGGATGCTCCAACCTACTTTCGCCTTGACCACCAGGAAGAATTTCGAGCGGCCAAAAAAGTACCGAAGCTCAAGGGTGTTCACGTGTCGGGCCCTGGGAGACACTCGCCCGACACTGTTTCGACACTGTTTCGACACTCTTTTGACAATTGTCTGGGTGCTCGAAATTATTTCTGGGATGTGGTCCTCAAGTAGGGTGGGAACAACATAAATTTAGGAGACCTCTGGGGTCCGCCCCGGCACCAAGACACCGGCACCGCGTGCAGCCGCAGGCGGGGCAAGCCTGGGAGGCCTCGACGGAGGACGGTCGGTCGGGCGCAGGTCGGACGGGGCCAGGACGAGGACTGATACGTTTATGTCGGCGTGTCCCCCTACAGGGGGGTTTTCGACGAAAGTTGAAAATACCCCCAAAATACCCCAAAATGCATTTTTCAACACATATATATATATATATATATATATAGAAAAATTGTCCCCTGACTATTTTGGGGCTATTGTTTGATTATTCTTGGGGTATGTTTTATTTTTCGTCGAAACTCCCCCTGTAGAGGGATAGGCCCGACTTAAAAATACGTTCGGGAGCGTCCCGGAACGCTCGCAGAGCGTTCTGGA